ATAAGTATTAAATTTATGTAAACTTTAAATGAGTACAAAAGGTCATGTGACTCGGTCAAATTGACCAATCCCGTGTTGGGTGAGTTAAGGGGTAATGAAAGAGAACTAAAGATGAATGTCTAAGTAAGTATACATGCTAAAGAGGAACTAAACTGAAGCATCATCTACTGTGTACATATTGAGGAATGATTAACTATGACTAAACAGTACCTACTAAGTGTAATTATGATAAAACATTACCTTCTAAGTGACAGAAAAGTAAGGAACTATGAGTAAACAACATATTCTGTGTGTTATATGTGAATAAGTAAAGAACTAGAAGTAAACATTAACATCTAAGTGTACAGTAGAATTGCTGATTATCCAGATATCCAATTGTCCGGATAAGTTTTGAAAATTAAAAATATGTACATACATGTAAGTGTTTTGTTGTAAAAAAACATACAAATGTTATACATGTTCTAACCTGCTTGGATAACTTTGTAGCAAAGGGTAGATCTCATCACAGAACCATCAGTCTTACTAAGTACGAATGTGCTTTGTGTTTGCTTAAAAATTAAAAATGTGTGTTTACTTTTTGGTCTTTCTTGGAGTCAAAATGTCTACGAAATACAAAAGAGTGGTTCTTTCAATTAGTGACAAAGTGGACATTATGAACAAGTTTAAAAAAGTAAATTGGTAAAAATCTATCAGAGAAATATATATATATTATAAAATATATGTTCATGATTTGATTTTTTAATAATGTTCGATGATCCGGATTTTCATTTACTGGACCACCCTTGGTCCCAATTAGTCTGGATAATGTACATATTAATAGTAAGCAACTATTTCTAAACATCAACTGTTGTGTATAAGGAAAGAAATTAATGAACCATGACCAAACAATATTCTAAGTGGGACACAGTGAGAACAAATTATCTATCTCTAAATATTGTCTCCAATGTGTACATGTTAAGGAGTAATGAACAATTTTAAAACAATATCTTCTACATGGACATATTAAAGAGTGAGAACTAGAATCAAACTTAACAAGGATGTGTACATGACAAGGAATAATTAACCACGACTAAGCATTATCTGCCATGTGTACATGAGAAGTAATGAACTAGATGTAAACATTACCTTCTACATGGACATGGTAAGAAGTAATGAACTATATCAAATCATTATTTCTATGTGGACATGTTAAGGAGTAAGAGCTAGAAATAAAAATTAATATGGATGTGTATACATCAAGAAATAATTAACCAAGACTGAGCATTATCTTCAATGTTTACAAGTGAAGAAGTAATGAACGAGATGTAAACATTACCTAAAGAGTAATAGACCAGAACAAAATATCAAAGTCTATGTGTACATGTGAAAGAGAGATGAACTATGACTAAACATAATATATTAAGTGGTATATATTACGAAGTAAGTAACTATGATTAAACTTTGTGATCTAAGTAATACAAGTTAAGGAGTAATGAACTAGTTCTAAATGATACATCCTATGTGGACATGTTAAGGATTAATAAACAATGTCTAAACATTAAGTCCTATGAGTTATGTGTTAATGAAGAATATACTATATCTAAACAGTAACTTCTGTGTCTTACCTGGTAAGACAAGAAGAATGAAGTATGAAACAGGTGGAGTGAATTAAAACTTGAAGTAAATGCCAGGTGCAGCACTAACAAGGGAAGAGAAAGGAAACAACAAGTAGAAGGCATAAGATAGGAAAAGTTGAGATAAATTCAGTAGATAAGAAAGTATTGGGTGGAAAAATCACTCCATTTCATTCTCCTCAACTTCAGCTTCAAAATCTATGAAGGGAAATGTGTGGCAGGGACGGAAGAAAAGAGTCCAGGCAGCAATATGAGCCTCATCACACACTGGATAATGCTACATTACTCTTCTTCTTACTGTATTTGTCAACCTGAGCAGCACCTTTTGCAATACACAATGGCTGTGACAATCTTGACAGGTAAAGAACTTCTGAAATTGTTGGCAACTGTGAGCGATACTTTTACTCCCATCAGTTAATCTGTGAATTCATACTGAAAGATTGAAAAATAGAGAGTAAAGTTGTTGACAAATCTCAGCAAAAATAACTATTTCTTAGTACGACTATGCCGAGGAAAAGAATGAGGATTTTCACCCATGAATGTAGAGGGACTATATGCATGAGGATGTATGTTGCACTCCTATTGGTGAAGGGTTTTGCTGCATGATACATCATCATGTAGTAGTGCAAATTCACAAGTTTTCACAATAATTTTAGGTGGTAGTTTAACAATGTTGGTGGTATGCAAACCTCTATAGCAGAATAGCATGATTTCAAGAAGAAAATAGCTAATCTGTGCATGGGGTGAGTCATATTAGAAAATTAGAATTTGAGAGACCTGTGATCAATAGGAGAAAACATTAACAAAAAACATGTTACTTTATATCTGGGATTATATTAATTTTTTCATTTTAGTTCAATAAATTAAATGTAAATCTAAGTACACTTAAGTACTTTAACTAGACACCTTTCAAAGTAAATAATCTTTATTTCACTTTATCAATACAGAAAGAATGAAATTTTTAACTTTTTTGTTAGTTACAAATCCAAGTTTGAACTTCATAAATGAATGTAAACCTAAGTAAATTAAGTAAAACCTAATTCAAAAACCAGTATCATTACAATTTAAATTTCACAATAAATTACAATATATTGAATTATGTTTTACAAGTGAGAATTATAATTTTTTTGAATAAAGTATTCCAGAGCTAACACACTTGTTACATACAAAAAGTTCACTTCTGTTCAGGAAAACATACCTGATAATTAACTTCAATAGCATATGGATTTAACTGGTCCATAAATAGATGCTTTGAGTACACCTTGTCAGTTTCTCCAGAAAACTGTTAAAAAAGTATCTATGTCAAGATTAATTTATAAATTTTTATTATTTCCCAAAACTCTTCTTCTCAACATCAAATGTCAACCCTTTGATAATTTGAAAAAAAAAGTGTAAACATAACAAATATGTATATTAGTAAAAAAATATATACTTATTGAGATTTTAAAAGAAAAACAATCTCAAAATGTACTTCTATATGATAATACTGGGTTACCCTTCACTTCAATATCAAAAATAGCTGAGAAAAGTTTATTTTTGCTTCTCTTATCACTTTTCCCTATTCAATCACATAATAAAATTGTCATCAGTCATCTGTTAGAACAATTGTAGAGTTACCAATGAATGAAATCAAGCTTCACTTTATATCAAGCCTTGAGCTTTTGTGAAAGTTATAATTTTCCTATACTGAAAACTCTTTTCCCATGTGTAGATTGTGTAATGCACAAAGGTGGAAACTGTGAGGTGTAGAGTGGCTAGGGTGCAATGGACCATACACAGTAATTCCAATACATCCAAAACCTGCTTTTGGGGTGCCAACATCCACGCAAGGGTAGGATGAGGATCATACCATCTTGACCTTAAACCAAAGAATTGAAAAATAAGACCCGCACCAATTTCTGGGAATGCCAAGAGGATCATCACCAAACTGGAATAGAAAGGATGTCTATTGCATGGAATCAACTCCCCCAACTGTGACACATGCTGGCACCATTCAAAGGAAATAACATTCCTGTAAGAATGAGGGATAGTCAAAGATAGAACCAGAACAATCTCACATACTACTATAATTAAAATTGTTCCTGAAGCACGCACGTGAGCAGCTCGTGGGTAATGTAATTCAATAGCATAATGTGAGCTGTGAGCTGCATGTTCCCCGAGTGATTTACAACTTATAATGGTGTGGATAGCAGTTAGACACGTTCAAAGGGCAATAAAATAATAAAATTAAATTATAACTATGATAGATGTATAATGTTACAAATTTAGAGCTACTTAGGATAAACGAACGTAGTTTCATGTTACAATTTGATGATAACAAAATAGGCTGGTTAATACATGTAAGGGTGGGAGTTTCATTCAAGAGTTGTGGAGTGTGCAAATGTATTTACAGCAGAGGAATGAGGTAATAGCTCTTTGTAGTGCATAGAAGTAAACACATTTCTGAAACTTCTTATGAAGCCTCATCTTGTAAAAGATAACAATAATCATCTTACCGAATAAGTGATATATAAAGGGAGTTGCGAGAGATCATGAAGGTCACCTGAGCTTCCAGGAAGTGTTTCCAATTTTTTCATCATATTGTTATAAGTGTGTATCATTCTGGTACATTATGGCTATGTAAAAAGGTGTTAGAGATGTTTTGTTTCAGAAATGGTAAAGAAAAACTATCTTTAAGTGTTGTTAAAGTAAAATAAAGGTGACACATGGAGACTGACTGAGAAAGAAATGCCAAGAGAATAATTGGCTTAATGACAAAGAGTGGTGATAAATTATAATTTCTCTTAAAAGAAAATATTATTAGTGAGGTGCTTCAAGGGCCTGTTTTAGGACTATTACTGATCATTGTTTATTTAATTAGTTGGACAGCTTCTTTCAGGGATAGACTGGCCCACTAGAAATTTATCTAGTGGGCTGACACCCCTCCATTGGCGGTTTGGGTTGAGCTACCAAATCATTCTTACTGCTCATTGGTGGAAACAAAATCCAACAAATGCTCAAGTTTGAAATTTTTGTGGTTTTCTTAACACAGAGTATGAATGATAAAAAGCTTACAGCTACAGCACTACAATCAAAGAGAGTTGCCTCTAATCTTTGTCCCTCTAGTGAAATAAGTTAAAAGTAATTACAACAGTAGGCTAGCTATTCAGTACATATTGATGAAACTAAAGATTTTTGTTAAATTTTGTAGCAATTATATCTATTATATATGTTAACATGCCATTGCTCTATTAATACTGCATTATATGATTCAAAATGACACTGGATCAAAAAAATGAACTTGAAAGGGGGGGACTGCACAGAGCTCAAGTTAGTCAAAAAACTATTTTCTAATGGAGTAATGTTTTACACTACTGATGATTAGTCTTACATCTGTAGTTGGGAAACTTCTAATCTGATGAAAGAAGCCATATACAAAATCATTTAGTGAGTTTTTCTAGGATGATTGCTGGAAAAGAAGGTATACTTTACAAAGATAGGTTAATATCACTAAGATTGTTTTCTCTTTAGAAAAGGAAAATAAGATATGACCTTATTGAAACTTACAAGATTATTCAGATAGTTAGGAAAAAAGTTTCTGATGTTTTTGTGCTATATTCTGATGATGATAGATTAACAAGACACAAGTTAGCATTATGGAAGAAAAGGATCTTGATGTTCTGGCTGACCACTCTCTTAAGCCATCCAGGCAGTTTACTTTTGCTGGAGATAGGGTAAATACGATTTTAGGTTATATGTATAGACATACTAAATACAAATCTTATATAGTTTATTATTTCATTGTATGTGTCACTGGTCAGGCCTAATTTGAAGTACTGTGTTCAGTCTTGGGATTCTTACCTTAGAAGGGCATTAATTGTTGGAAACGGTTCAAAGGAAGGCTACTAGGTAGATACCTGGGATGGAAAGGTTGTTATAAAAAACAGGTTAAAATCTTTGAAATTTTCTTTTAAAAAAAGGAGAGATGGAGGGGCTTTGATGAGGATGTTTAACATTGTTAAGGGAATTTATATCCATCATCTTTTTTCATACATGGTGAGAATTTAAGATCACAGAGCACAAAAATAAATTTTGGCAGAGTGGGTATCATTTTCAGTTAAGGGAGATATTTTTCTCTAACATGATGGTTGGAATTTGAAATGAGCTGCCTTCTGATATAGTGGATGCAGAAAATTCAAGGGTACTTAAGAAAAGGCTTTATAAGTATTGTTACGTATCTGCTTGTTTGTTTGTTTCCAGTAGAAATTCTTTCTGAGAATCTTCAGTGATACAAGTCCTTTCTTGAGTAAACCAGTTTATTTTTTCCTCAATACAAACTTTTAGTACACAGTAATTCCACAATCAGTACATTTCTCGTCACTTTAAACTTAACAACCTTTATAATGCACGCTATAAATCACAGCGATTCACAATCTATCCCCCTGCTGGCTTTCTCTGCCAGGCTTATATATTAATGAAGAGGCATCTCCAACATTCGCAGACATCCCCGATAATTCGAGAAACTCCTCACGCATGCTACCAGTGTCACATGACTTCCGCTGTCATAACAGTATTTAAATGGTAAGGGTTGGCTTTAAGATTATTATTTATATATATAGTTTAGTTTTATGGATGGTACAACCTAGATGGATCCCTTTATTGTCCTTAAATTTTGTTAAGTTATAAAAAAGACAGGTCCATGTTAAGCAGTTTTATTTTTCTAAAAGAGTGATTGACTTATGGTATGAGTTGTCAGTACTTTACAAGAGCTTAAGAGGGGAATCTATTATTTCCTGAAAAATAAAGAGTAGGTTTAAAATTTTATGTGAACAGGGTCAGCCTTGAAAGACTAAATGGTCCCTTGTTGTCCATATCACATATTATTGTATTACTGATAGTTTTGTAATACCATAGTAAACAAACATAATATTCTAATGCACAGGAAACCCATTTTATTATTATCATTATTGATACCTATCAAATTTATATTAAATAAGACATGATTCCACAAATTTTGAATAATCCTCGACTCTATTCCCTAAATCTGGTTGTTAAAGAATTGAATAATCATAAATATCTTCCCACTCTGTTTGTATTTTTTTACTAATACTCAATCGTATTTCATAAAAACATAAATGATCAAACTACAGCTAATCATCATGTTTCTTGCCTATGATGTTTGGTTGACATTTCTAATTGTAATATTTGAGTAGCATTTTGTCTTGGGTTTCTAATTACATATTTAAGAAATATGGGAAATACTTGAAATACAGTAAAGTTAAGAATTAATCAAGATGTTAAAATATTATTGAGAAACCACAACACAATATGATTGCTCTTTGTACACATCAAACCACTTAAAGATCCACTGAAGACAAAAACACCATTTGCAACATTCCTTGTAAATGCTACCTCTAATACATTAGAGAAACATAAAGACAAAGAAATAGTTAAAGTTCAGGAGCATAATAGACATATAAGACTATAATACAGTTGTTTTTACAATAAATCATCATTCCAGAAAAGACATACAATAAACTGGAATATTATTAAAATATTGGGATATGAACCACACACAAAGCTACACAAAGGACTATCTGTACTCTGTCCACAGGTATCAAAAACTGGTTTCTAGCTGTATAAGTTCAAAGATACACAGCTGTGCCACTGGGGGTCATAAAAGGAGAAAAAACAATTGACCATAGAAGCATTACAAATAGTACTTGGAAGTCATGACATGAACTTCGGAAATTCAAAATGAAATTAAATAGACTTGGTAAAAAACTACAGCAAACAAACTGAAACAATTGAACAAAAAATGTTAAAAGTACTCCTACATACAATTAAAGAAAATATTACATTAAAAACAACATAATGTTAAACACATCTGCATTCGATAACTCCCTAACGAGTCATATACATCAGAAGGCTGTGGAGGTTTGAAGCATGATGATTTACATATGAAGACACTGTGAACCACATGGATCATTGGGTAGTAGGAGTTTAAAGGCTTATGGCATGCAAAAAAGGTTTTGCATGTATAGGGCAGCACTGAATGATAATAGCCATATCTGAACAGAAGTAAGATACCAGATAGAAAAAGTCCAAGAGTAATATCCCATAATTCAGGGGTTATATACATGTATGTCATTGACTTTTACAAATAGGATATTCAAGGGAGAAAACCACCTGCTGATACCTAGTTGTACAAGTACTTGCATTATTCCTTGAGATGGACTTGCTCCACTACAAGGAGTGGACACAGATACAGTGTGAACTTGATGTAATCTTTTATGAAATTGC